GCATATCTCCACCTTGAGGACAAGGTGGATTTTTTGGGAGGGGAGTATTGTTAGACCGGTCCAGTGGACCGGTCTAGCCGGTCCAGGCGGGACCGGCTCATACGCGAACAGGGCGGAAAACCTCCGTTCGCTGGGATGCCGAGCGAGCCGCACGGTGTGAGGGAGCCAAATAGGAAAGAAATTTTGGGGAGTTAAGAGGGAAATTTGAATGTAGGGATTGTTTAGGGAATTCCTTTTGATTTGTATGCATTAAATAGCTGTTTGTCCTAGGGTTTGATCATCTTGAATTTGGCTGAAATTTGAGATCTCTTAGATTTAGGTTTTCTTTGGGCTCTAGCGGCGTCTAGAGATTTGGGAGAGATCGATCCTCCTCTCGAATTGAGGATCAATTGTATCTTTGCTGTTTTATTCATCTACTAGTGAAATACAAGAGTTTTTCTTCGTTTTTTCTCAAATTTCTCGTGTAACTCCTGTTTTTTCTGTTTTTGGGCTGTTTCCTGTTGTGGACAGCAATAAATCTGCTGGAGTTTACTGATTTTGGCTAGGAACACTTGTGAATCCAAGTGTTTCCTATCATCTTGGTGGCAAGGGATTTGGCGTTATACATTCACATGGAGTTACTAAGTTTTTTTTTTGCTTCTCTCCCTCTCCATATATCGTTTAGTACAACCACAGCAAGATGTGCAACATAGCATTTATTTTTTGAAAATATGATCAATAGGCATCCGTCCAGTATTATCTAATTATATTATTATATTGCATGGTGCTTAAAGGTCTTTTTTTATATGCAGGTGAAACAAATGGTGGTGGCTACTCTTGCTGAGTCGGGCATGAATCTTTCTGATGAAGTTATAGAAAGCATCATTGACAAGGTTCGTGCACAATGATTACATTTAAGTCCTTATATCTAATATAAGTGGTATTTTTGGTCATGGTATTCCTCCTGAATTCTTCTAATGTATGAACTATTTTGTTGCATTACATTGCTTTTTCTAGACAACCTTTATAATAACATAATCTTAGGGAACCCTTTCCTATCTGATCAGTGCATAGCTTGGTTAGCCCTTGGATTACTTTCTTTCGGTGGTTGAATCTACTTTACTGGCACCACTTGCAAACTGAACCCAAAGGAAGTTTGTAGTAGTGGGTTGATTTCAAAATGATCAGGATAGTTTGCACACATTGCTGAGCTTAGGTTTCACCATTTTGTTTGGTATTCTGGTTTAGACAACAATTTCATGTTGCTAGTTTATGAACGTATGTGGATATTTTTCTGAGTATGTATTTGTAGAAAGCTAGCCATGAATGTCATTATTCACGTATTATGCATTCGTAATGGACAATAGATGTACATCACATTGCACTAGGGAAAAACCTACAGATGCCTAATTGGATAAGTATTTTTAAGATCATATTGTACTGTTTTTTTTTTTTTTTTTTTTTTTTTCTTTTGTGTATTTTATATTACCTGATTTGATGGCCAGTTTTTTTTTTTGTTGTCTCATTAAGCATTCGTAATTTGTTGTTGTAGACATTTGAGGAAGCCGATACCAAACATGATGGAAAGATTGATAAGGAGGAGTGGCGCAGTCTTGTGTTACAACATCCCTCACTACTGAAGAACATGACCCTTCAATACCTCAAGTAAGCCATCATTCCATTGTACTTTTTCTTACTTAATATGTATATAAAGATAGTGATATAACCTATACCTCTTGTTTTTTTTTTTAAAGCACATTGCTGGTTTGAAAATCGTCAAATAATTGGAAGTGCCCTTATTTCATTTTTATAACCTATTGAACAACATGTGTTCATATGCACCGAAAATCTCTTAAGCTTGTTTGTGGACTTCGAAAATTCGTGCCCCAGTCTCTCCGCGGACCCCCCTTTGTTTCTTCTTTTTTGGATTGTCGGGAAGAGTTTTAACGAGTATGTTCCGGGGTAAATTTTTAGAAGGTATATTGGATTTTAAATAAGACACTACCTAGAGATTTCACCCTCATTTTGTGAGGACTTTATGATCTGAGTTTTGATTTCTTATAGGCGCAAGCCCCTATAATTAATTACCCTTCCCAGTAACGAGAGAGAACTTTCGATTAAGGCTAGTCGTCAAATCGATACGTGATATCTGTCATATAGTAGCAACACGGCTTAGGTATGTGAAAATTTGATATTTAAAATTAGAAATTTCATCATCTTGCACTTAAAGCGGATGGTAGGGGGAATGTGATGAGCCCGATCAAGATCCCATGGTTATGTCATCCTGAGCCATCGTGGTCCTTATTCTACTTAGTCAGAGGAGGTAGTCGACCTAACATGATAGAAGGATTCTTATCGACAGTCATGGGTTGCTTCATCCGTACCTTGTAGATCTGGGATGAGTATTTGTCCAAGGGGGACAAGTTTGAATCCACCCTAGCTAACGAAGGGTTTTGTGCCCTATCCATCATATATTATTGATTCATTACTCAATAATTTGAAGCCATTGGAGAATATACTGCCTCTAACCATGACCGTAATATAATTGTGTCATTTTATGGCAAAACTACCTGGTCAGAGGGTCTCGGTCGTAACCATGTAGCGGCGAAATCATTGGTGTGGTGCCATTTGGTGGTGAACCACCGATTAGATGACACTTGTCACGTCTGGCAAAAGATAGATTGAGAATGAATTTTAGTGATATTCTCGACTATACATTAGCTCTTTATGTGCTTGAAGTAATTTTTAATTTGTCCATCCCGGCAAACTGCTACAGTGGGTGGATGGATATTTTTGCTTTAAGCATTTAATGATTAATTTTAATTTTAAATATCTTGGTCTTGGATGATTATTTTAGAATTTTGGATTTGAATGAGCATTTGAGAGATATTACAAATGTTTGTAGTTCCCTCCAGTTGAGATTTTTTGTCAACACGATCATCATTGGGGTAATATTGTAATCACTTTAAAAGATTTGTATTTTGTTGAAGCTTGAAAGCATCGAAAAGTATAGGGTCCCCTCCAATTGAGATAAACATTCAACACGGTCATCATCAATGTTTCTAGGGGTTACATTTTTGTTGATTGAACATTGTCGACTTTATCAATTTACTAACAGAGGATCCATTTCACATCTAAATGTATTTCTTAACCCACTTAGCATCCTCATATGCCATGTGTGTACCTACGACATGCTCGTCAAGGCCCATATGCGTATATACTATTAAATGCATTTTACACGGTGCATTTATATGATTGTTATATGTATGCATGATATTATAGGAATGAAGCCCTCTGTATATTGCAAATGCATATGGGAGGATACTTAGGAGTGTAATTACAATGTCAAATGACATGCTTGAATAAATCCTCTACATCGTAACAATGCATGCAAAAGGTCATTTTAAATTATAATTGCACTGTCAAATGACATGTTTAAAAGAAACCCATTGCATCCTAACTATACATGCAGGAGGTCATTTTAACATGCAATTGTAATATCAGATGACATACTTGAATGAAAAATCTCTGCATCTTACAAATACACGCATGATGTCATTTTTAACTGTGAATGCAATGTCAACTGACATGCTAGAATGAAACCCTCTACACATTGCTAATGCATGCATATTATGGAATACACATCAATGCGTATTGTAATATATGCGTGGTGGTGTTTTCATTTTTAAATGTAGTTGACTGTATAGACAACTATTGCTGCAAAATGCGTGGGATTTTATTTTGGGCTTTGTTGACGTCTTCTGTCCACTTGTACGAATGTTGCAGATCCAATGATGTTTAGTTTCAGTTGCCCACGGTTTTTACTACTGATTCTCTGCTTTTGCTTACATGTGAATTGTAGCATTGCATCTTGAATAGTCATGAGATACTTCATTGATCTGATTCAACCTCCATCTCCTTGTTCTTCGAGAGATCAGATCCACGAATCATCTAACCTTTGCTTAGACCGGACGAGGACATCCAAGTAGCATAAGGTCATTTTGTGATAGTTGATGTATCATAATCTGATGAGACCAAAGGCTCGGTTGATGAGCTGTTGGCTCTCCTCGTCTTCAATTTGCCACACGGTATTCTCTTCGAAGCATGAACATGACAAATCACCGGGTAGTTGTTAGTATGCCAACGCCATTCTAGAATTTGATATGCATATGGGATGTAGAAGCTTCTCCCATAGTCCTCAACATGGCAACCATGAGCATCTTTCTCCAATTTATAGCTACAAAAAATTAATGGTGTACGTGTAGGACATCAAGTTGTGAGGTGTGATCTCTGGGTATTTGTCCTTTATTCAAATAATACGACATTTCTCCAGAAACCCTGGTATTTTTGAAGATATGATAGAATGAGACATTTTTTCTTTAACTGCTCATTCTTTGACTCTACAGAATTGTTCATAGAGTTATTCAACTTCGCATGCTTAATATCATAGTTAGGATCTACATCAATGGGCTTCCTCTTTATCCAAGTTTGCCTTTTTCTCAGCTGTCATTATTAGAACATCCAAAATTAATAATCGGAGGATTTAGTTATATTTGATCAACGATACCTTCATCTCTGGTAGAATAGACGCGCTTCTTTTGCTATTATCTGTGAGAAAATTTCCCTGACTGCATATATAATATATTCTACTACCGTCCATAGGCAGTCTGTTGTAGCATGATGGGTCACCTATTGTTATTTGCAAGTGTTGCTACAAATCACTTGCCACTTCAGTGGTTCGTAGGTGCTTACATCTATTGCAATCCGCTTGCATTTGTTGTATATTTAAGTTCATATAGAACCCCCATTATATTTATAACATAGAAGTGGTTCGTAGGTGCTTACATCTATTGCAATCCGCTTGCATTTGTTGTATATTTAAGTTCATATAGAACCCCCATTATATTTATAACATATTTTTCGTCATTGATTGCCTTCAAATCAGTGCATTCACCAATGATTTGATGTTGGATGCCGGCTGAACCTTGATAGATCTTTCACTATACTTGCAAGCATTATCATCTCAACCTTTGCTTGCAGGTTATTTATATCTGAAGGTCTCCCGCGACGAGTCCCTTGCTCGTTCGTTGATATTTATTTGAATGATCAGAATTATTATTTGGTATTTGTATTTTCAATTTTATTGTGCATTTTAAAGTTTAGGGTCCAGTTCCTTGATGTTCATTAATGTTATGTTCCATGAGTTATGTTGCATTTAGGTCCCCCATTCAGTTGGAATTTCTGCAGTATAACGGTGTCTCTCCCATTTAGGGGAAATTTGGGGAGTCTTAGCCTTCCCTCCACGTTAAGAAAGCGAGCACGATCGGTGTCTGATGACATCGCGGCCGCGATCTTCAATCTCACCACGTCAATAAAAATATGCATGGGTCTTCAGGGGTACCGATTTAAAAAATGCACAGTTCTTTTCCCACAGGCACTGAAGCTCGTATATATGTTCTTAATTTTTTGCCCCGCCGCGTTAAAAAAAGTGCACACAAGGATTACCTCCCACTGTGCTAAGAAAAGTACGCATTGGTGATTGCTTGCCACGCTACAAGCATCGAGGACAAGATTTGGGTTATACCTTTGCAGTCCAGTGCTGGCGGAACCGTCGGGATGACAACGACGAATATCGATAAAAAAATATACAAAGATATTTTTTATTCTTTTTTCGTTTTTTTTTTTCCTTTTCTTTTTTTTATTTTTCTTCTTTCTTTTATTTTCTTTTTTATAATAATAATAATAATAATAATAATAATAATAATAATTAATATTATCAATATTAGTAATTAACAATTAATAATAGTAATAATAATAAAAATATAAGAGATGGAGAGAGAGAGAGTTTACCTAGTTGAACTCGACGGGAAGGATTTGGGAAGTAGGGAGGTGCGCCGGCGTGGATTGAAGACTGTAGCTATTCCTATGGTCGAAAGGATATTCTGTCGCAGCTAGCTTGGGGCGGGCCGATCGGCATGCCAGGGAGCTGGGTCGGAAGGGCTATTGGGACCTGGAGAGCTGCTGCAAGTGGTCCTGATGGCTGGAGGCGGTTGTAGGGTGTTCGAGCGTGAGATCCGGCGGGTTTGCCAGTCGATTCTTGCGGCTATGGGTTCAGGAGGCCTGCGGCTATGAGGATTAGATAGGGTCTGACTGAGGGAATGGAGGGTTTGACCTGGCTAGGTGGATGGTTCGACAGTTAGAGGCCTCGGAGGTTTGCAGCTGTGAAGTGGAGGCAGAGGAAGGAATCAAAGCGACGTGCAATCAGAAGAAGGGTGATGATCAGGCAAGGTCTTGTAAGATCAGAACTGGTCCAGTCGCGGGTTGCTAGCATATACGAGGTTGGCACGGGAGTCAAATGCGCGCAAGGGGTCGAGATTGCTGTCGAGTTTATTGGAGGATTGAAGGTAGGAGTTGCGTTCGATCGGGGCTGGTGTCACGTGGGTCAGAGGGGTGTGGCGCTTGACTAGCTCAGCTACAGAAAGTGTCGAACTAGTAGGGTGGTTGTTCGAATGGGATTGATGGGTGTTTGAACGAAAGGGAAGAGCAATGGGATCGAGAGAGCTCCTATCGTCAATGAGATCATGTGTGGGGAAAAGATCAGAACGAAGAAGGCTTCGTTTGATTCCTTTTGAATAACGAGGCATAGACGTACGTAGATCATGCAGAGGTCGTGTGAAGCTTGCCGTCGACGTGAGGAGCTCATGGCCGGACGTCCGAACGGTACTCAGGTGAGACTGATTGGATTTATTTTGATTGATTTTTATTTATTTTATTTTATTTTATTAATTTGAATTTTTAAATTATTAATATAATATTAAAATATTATTATAACTAAACATCAGAATTTAAATAACATAAATTTTTATCTTGATTTATATGTCATTTCTCGAAATCCACACGTCATTGCCTCGGAAACTGCTATGATTTCCTCACGCAATTTTTTGTTGAGCGAAATTTTTGTCGTTTTTAGATGAATCGAACATTCCGAACCCAATGGTAAAGTCCATTTTGCGATCGGACATCATTTGGTAGCATCGCGCGTTGTTTTTGAGTGTCGATCGTTGACTTTGACCGATCTCGTCCAATTTTCTGCGAGGGGTTTCCACTTAGGGGAATTCGATGTTTTGATTGCAATGTGGCAATCCATTTGAAGATTGGAGGTCGCTTGACTCTTCAAGTGACACATCATGCACACTAGCCATCATTTTTGTCCCCGATTTTGCTCTTTTACTTGCGTACTTTTTTTTTTTTGGGGACATTTAGGCCATTTAAGGCAAACTCACACACACAACACATACACAAAGACTCGAACCCAAGACCTCTTAGTTGGAAGCATAAGCTCTCAACCAACAAGCCAAGGTGAGCTGTGTACTTGCGTACTTGGTGTCTAGGTCAACATTGTTACATATATTTTTTGTTATATTATTCTCGTTGACACCATTTTCTTGTTTCATGATTTGTGATGGTTGACTTAGCATGTCATAACATAGCAAAATTAAGTGCTGTGAAAGGCGCTCGTGAGCTTATATGGTGCGATCTTCTTTCTCCGCACTTTTTTGGAGTCTCAAGAAAAGAACACTAAGTAGCATGGAGTTTCAAAGACATATTAGGATAAGATCTTAAATTTCCCCCAATCAATTGATAAGGCCAACTATGATTAATTTAATCATGAAGGATTGAGGTTTTTTATGGGCACAAATCCCTATGTTCAATTATCACCGAGACCCGACGCTTGCGAACACTCTTATTAATAATTTAATAATTAGGGGATTTACAAACATACCACACAATGCATATATATTAACATATCTAGCATCTAAAATTTGATATTTACTTATATAACACCTAAATATTGGAATCACATAAAATATATTACTATTATTAACTTTATTAAAGTAAAACACCTTTTTTTTTATGTTATATCTTTTGATGTGATTGAGATATTAAGATATTGTATAAGTAAATATTAGATATGTAAATATATAAGAATTATGTGGTATATATGTAAATTCCCCTTAAGACTATCATTTTGTTATGATTTAGTTGTTGGTAATTGGGCTTATATATGAGTGGATTTAATGAGATGAATGATCAGCTTGATTAAGATCACTGTTTCTTATTTTATCAAGTAACTTTGCACTAGCAAATCCTGTTGGGCTCAAGTGCTCTGAGACATCATAATGTCCTGCTCACATGCCCAGCCAATCCAAAAATGAGATTTGTATGCTACTCATCACTTACAGGAAAGCATGCTGGGCATTTTAAATCCTCCCTATTTTATGTTCTATATTTCTACATAAGTACATCTTAGACTTCGTTTAGGACAACTTTCTTACTACTTCTTAAAACAGTATTCTAGTAAAAAAAATTATTTTTACTAAAACATCGTTTTAAGAAGCAGTAAGAAAGTCGTCCAAACAAAACCTTAATAACCATCATGCTGCATAGTCTCTTAGACCATCTCCAACTGAAAAACTCATTTACATTTCAAAATACAGTAATACTCTAAATTGCAGTAATTCAGCTCCAACCGAACTTTATTTCATAACATCAATAAAGAAGGTGAAAAAATGGCGTTCGTGAATAGTGCGACGCCTCATCTCGCGCAAAATGCCACTGAATATGAGGTTCGGTTGGAGCTCACGGCGACTACAATGCTCGTTTGGCATACGGTTGGAGATGGATTGTCTAGATCATAATGCCAAGTGAAAATGTTTTATGAAATTTATTATTAAGCTAAATGGATTGTGTTCTGTGAGCAGGGATATCACTACAACATTCCCAAGTTTCGTTTTCCACTCCCAAGTCGATGATACCTGATGATCAAATGCAAATGAAATTCGAAGACGAGTTATTTGTGTTTGTTTTCTAAACGTAGTAGATAAATTGTTGTGGTGGAATTATTTGTATCGATTATATATATATGTAAGAGTCATACTAATTTTGTTTTCTCTCAGGGAGAAATTCATTTCTATTATTGATATTCATTTTATATTTGTTTTCTGTATAAATTATATTGCTTAAAATATTTCTCTAACTCAATTTTAACTGAAGAATTGATACATAAGGGCATCTCCATCCGAATCCGTTTGCTTGCAGCCGCATTTTTGCGGCTATGAACAGTGTGACGTTAACATTGACCTTAATTTTTTTTTAAATTATAAAATTATTAAATTTTATGATTTTGATTCTAAATATGTTAGTTTAACTTGTGTTCTTAGTTTTTTAATTTAAATATATTTAATTTTAGTGTTATTAATCTATTAAAAATAGGTTTTTCATTTTAAATATAATATTTTTGGTGTTGGAAATGAAATTCAATTGGAGATAAATTATTATTTAATATAAATGTTACTGTATTTTAAATTAAAAATAATTTTTTTTGGTTGGAGATGTCCTAAAACAGCAAGAAAATTTTAATTTTCAAACAAATTCATTGCTAACTTTTCACAATCTTTTGTTTAAGCTAAATAAATATTACATCAATATAGATTCACTTCATGATATGTGATGAATCATTTATTATAGAGTAAAAATTCAAAAGAAGAGCAAAATAATATTCCTGATGATGTTATAACATATATAAAAGGCTATGAAAAAATTGTCATAATATTTTAATATAAATTATATTATGACTAATTTAAATATTATTAAATTTATTTTAAAATTAATATAAATTTAATTTTTGATGTGAAATATTAATATTAAGATAGATCCAATAATTTTTAAATTTATTTTGATACAATTTGTATAATAGTATCCTAATATATGTGCATGCAGGATCCCAATTTCAGTGGATCTATATATGTTGGTTAGCATGAATAAAATATTATCTACATTATCTTATTCATAAATCATAGCAGTCCAGCTCAGAGACAGTACCCCGAATTATTGCAATTGAAAGTTTTTTTTTTCTTTTTCATTTTGGTTTTTCTGATTTGAATAGGAAAGATGGCAATATCATTTTTGAAAAAAACTGTCATGTTTAGACCAAAAAATAAAGATAAAATTTAAAATTTTAAGACCTGCTTTGAGATAATTATAATATATAAATAATTTATATTATAATTGTTGCGTCTTGGAATATTTGCGGTGGCATAGAAATATAAAGTTTAACGTCTTAGCTTTGTAAGAAGATTCAGCACACAAACATATGAAAGAGAGGGTGTAGTATTTATAAGAGACACCGATATTTTTATGTAGAAAGCCCTAAAAAGGGGAAAAATTAAGAGGTCTAACCTAGTTTGAATGAATTCACTAGTATTTGCAGTTGATTACAAATGAGGATCTTCCTTGGGAGAATGCCTTAGCTTGATGTAACAAATATACATCAAATAGAGTGTGTTACATGATAGGATTTGAAATAATAACTATTGATACATCTATTTGATCAGTAGAACCATAATCGACAGGCGACAGAGGTTGGAAAGAGCGTAGTCTAGTGACAAAAGTTCAGCTTATTTGATATCTAAAATGCATATAATTAATTCCAATTAAACCGAGGCGGGTTATGTAGTGTCTATCGAACATATCGAGTTCGAATTGGACTCAAATCGAGCCCAAATAAACTCAATGATGTTCGATTACACTCACATACGAAATCAAATTGGATTTGATGAATCGTGTTCGGTTTGGGTCGGGTCGAGTCAGTGCTATCTCATCGGGTGTCCAGCTATGAGAAATCATGCCAATGGACATGTCTACACCAGGCTACGAAGACCTAGACACTATGAATTAGTTTAAGTAATTATTCTCATACAAAAATAAGATCAACAATTAAAATACTTTTAACTAATTTTTCCCTTGAAACTATAAATGCATTTTAGATATCAAATATGGGCATTAGGCTTCTAACTTGGCTGTGTTCTCTTGATATGCTTTGCAAACAAAGAAAACAAAAAGTTCCCAGACAACATGGTTATTTTTTCATTAACATTTTTATATAGAGCTTCCCAAGATCGTAGTCTTGGGGGAAGGCTCGTCATCGGACTTCTGCGCGTCGTCGGATGCCAAACTTCCGCCCGTCGTAAGATTTCTACTTGACGTCGGACTTCCACCCGTCGTTGGATTTCTACCTAACGCCGGACTTCCGCTGTTGCTGGACTTCTGTCCATCACCAGACTTCTACCTAGCGCAGGACTTCCGTCCGTCGCCGAACTTCTACCGGATGTCGGACATCCACCTGTCGCCGGATGTCTACCCAATGCTGGGCTTCCGCCTGTCAACAGTCCTTCTAACCTCCATCGCCAGACAACGGTCTTTCCTACTTGCAAAGACATCTCTATTGTATGGCGAATGGTTACACCAATGCACACACATTGTAAACTAATATTTTTTTTTTACCCAAATATATATGATATGATGCTTAGTCATTGGCCTTAGGATAGTGCACATACAAATTATTGGCCTTGTTGGCTGAGACTTGCCCCCTCTATGAACCTTAGAGATCTCCACGATCACCTAGGCATGTAGTTTAGGCCCACCTATTGTGTCATGTGCATCGATGTTTTCTGGCACGAAGTAGACGCCCTAGGATGTTTTTCTTTGAGATTTTAAAATGTTTAAATAACTCTAAAATTATATCTTTAATTATTTTTAGCTTTCAAATATTGTGTCTTTAAACATAATGAGGCTGAGTTAGTTATGATAGAGCTCAATTACCTTTTTTTATTAAATTTCCGAAGTATTGCAGAACTCAGCTACATTTTGAGCATCTTGTTATTATTTGTTTGTTGATGATTTATATGTTTACTATGATTGTGCATTAAAACTGCATTACCTTTTTAGATTTTCTTACTTTATTTTGCTTGGAGGTGGCTCGAACAGAGTCCTATTTATGTTATTAGGATGCTAAATTTTCTATAAAGTTAAAATTTTCTTTAAACAAGATTAAAATGAACTTAAGATTTAGAATCAATCCACTTTTAAAAAAAGCATTGCATGACCTCTCGTGGGTCACTCTTTAAAATTCAATTGATATTTCAAACATAGCTCACTTCACAGTGACAGTGACTAATGGTTAGTTCTGATTAGCCCTATCTATGCATGCAAAGCTTGAGTCAAAGATTTTCTTTACCTTTTGCATATTATAGTATCATTCATGATGAGGCTCAATATTCTTTCTCCTTCTATGCATGAAGTTAATATTCTTTCTCCTTCTATGCATGAAGTTGAGATTGAGACGCTAGATGGAGTCTAACTGGTACTCTTTTTCGAGAAAGGTAGTAAATCTAGGTCGAGGCCGCCTAGATACCTGGTGGGGTTTAAGTTATAAATCTTCTCGCGGTGTCTTACATTAGCTAGGTCATGGGCGTTAATGCCAAGTGTACAATACATCATTTGTAAATCTATGGTCAAAGGCTGGCGGTATAAGCATATCATTATATGCCTTATCGTTGAGTAGATTCTCAATTCTTTGGAAGCTATAAATTTCACATATCCGCATCATTTTGATGACTCCGCTTCCATCTCTCTCACACTTGCTTGATATAAGATGATTCTCTCCTAATTTCTCCTTTTTTAACAGGGCAAGAAATTATATGATCATTGCATGTTGAATAGCCCGATTGAGCCGATCTTCATTTAGATTATAAGACTAGATAATGCATTATGTGTCAAACTTAGAAGAGAATAAAATAGCTTCCTCGAGGGTAATCTTAGATCGAAGCCTAAGATGTAATTAACTACGAGGGCTTGCACCCGTGAAAAATCGAGGCCAACATTAAAATAGACCTCATTAAAGCCAATGTATCGAATGAAATAAAATCTCGTGACTATTGAATTATAAATATTATTATCAATCAAGATGTGTAATCGAGAGCCGCTACTCACCATGAATAATCATATGTATAATTTTATCTACTCTCCCATTGACATGCTCACATAGGGTATAAAGGTCTAGGACCATTCTGTCCTACGAGAAAATGCGATCTTACCATTTGCAACGCTAATATTGACTTCAAAATGTGGAATATAACATAACTAACATTTGAAAAGTACTCTCTCCATAGTTCCAAAAACTTTTGCAATATTTGCAATATTACAGTTTAAATAGTTCGCAAGCATTGAAGTTTCCCGTTAATCTGAACAAACTTACAACTCATCATTCTTCAAACGAGCAACATAATGATATCCTCAAAAGCAATAAAAACAAAAAAAAAAACCTTAAGGAACTGAAGTTAAAGCACGATAAGAGGGAAAAGAAAAAGGTCTATTTATAGTTTAACTGCAGGAAAAATATTTGTAGTTAGTCCTCACGCCAGTTGAATTTACAGCTCTCATTGCAACATTTGTAAAAGGATGTCATTGGTTCATCCGCAGATCGGATCTGCATCTGTTTGAAGTATGCCTCTCCATGATTACACCTCGGGCAACTTGCTGCAATACAAAATGAAGAAAAAAAAAATTAACAATCACAAGGCAGCACAAAATATTCCATTGGCTAAAATATTGGAATGATCTTAAAAAAAAAAAAATTTCCAGCTAAACGTATTGTAAATGCAAATAGACCAGTGGTTGGTGGTTGGGTTGGGAGGTTTCAACTTTCTTACTGCTTCTTAAAGCTACTTTCTAATAAAAAAATTAAAATTTTTGTAATAAAAAGCTGTTCTAAGAAGCAGTAAGAAAGGCGTCTCGAACGAAACCTTTTTATCTCCCCTCCATCAAGCTGAACTCGAAGGACTAACAGCTTAAAAATTTTACATTTCGTTTGCTAACCATTAAAAAACTATCATAATCAATACAAATGGCAAACAAATAATACTGCTAATTTAGCCCAGAGTATTAAGCAAATTTGTTGGGCAACAGACTCAAAGAAAGTTGCTAATAAATAATAGTGAATCCACTGTATTATGCGACAAACATGCCTCAGAGGCTACATGTGGGTGTTAGGTTTAGGTGTCATCTAGGCTTGTTGAGTTTACATGAGTGCTCAACCCTTCTGTCAGGGAATTTGAGAAACTCAATTTTGAGAGGAGTCACAAAGGAGATACAATTATACAAAACTATAATGACCTGTTATTAAGGAGATTTATAAGTATTTTGACTCTAATTTTATTAAGATATGTTGAAGATTTTAAATAAGTGAATTTCTAGATAAATATAAATAATTTTGATTATTGGAAAAATATTAATTTGAGCAAAAAATTGTTCCGAAATAGGTTATTTTAAATAATTCTAAGTCAAAATTTAAACTAAAGTTAGATTTTAAATCACCTCATTAAAACACTTACAAATATGTGTTTAAATAGGATAAGTGCAGTGACAAAATGAGGGAGTTGGGATGTGTGTATTATCATGTGCTTTGAAATTTTGGTTGATGTGTAATTGGCAGAGAGAGCAAACCTTATGAATGTAAATATAGAGGATAGCTGCGGTGGTGCTTTTGGTTTTCAAGAACAAGTAAAGGATCTTTTGATAATTAAAAAGAGAGAAAGTTAGGAAAAGGAGCAAGAAAGAACTGGCTGAATGAAAAGTTAATTTTTGTGGGTTAGTATCATCGTAACTTGGCGAAAGCTTAGGTGCTAGCATGCTAGCAATTTTGTGTTGAATCCATAAACATGTAAGGAGGCCCCCTTTTTGAAAATTTTAAGTTTGTCTTAGTTAAATCTTCTAAGGTTTATTATATCTCATGTTATTCTCTCTTTTATTTATCATAAGAGATTTAAGGCTTCTCCTTTGTTGTGAAATTAGATAAATTTGGGATTAGAAAAGCCAATTTTCTCATTTCTTTGTTTATTTGCATACCCATATGATTTATATATGGTAGATTGGATGTTCTATCTTTGGATGTAGACTATTATTTTAGCCAAATCACATAAATCTTATTATGATGTTTGATCTGTTTTATCTCCCTTTGTGTGTTTATCATATGCGCTCTTAATAGGTGCCTTCACATTAAGGTTTTGGCCAACTCCTTCAGCTAAGAAAATATTACTTGCAAACAAATTAAATAAAATGGAAATGCACCAGACTGATTAACGAACTACTCATATTTTAAAAGTAGTTACCTGTTGTTTTGGGAGCATATTTCATGTCATCTGCTCCAAAGATGGGCTCGACCTCTTTATTTACTAGTACTCCCTTGCGGACTATCTAAAACGTCAAAATGACAAGCACTACAAGGCATGAAATTCAAAAAATTAAGATTTGAAAAAATGAATCAGCTTTTTAGTTTACCTTGACATTGATTGGACAGACATACGGACAAGCAGGGCAGAAAAATCTGGTTTTGCGGTTACCACTTGCAGCTTCAAGCTCCAATAATATAGCACAGTTAGGGCAGAACTCCATTGCCATTGACATTTTGATCAATTAATTTGAACCTCTGTTCCCCTCTTTCCAGTATGTAGATGTAGGATGACCTCGAATGCAACGGCTAAAAATTGGTAATCCAGAGTTCAAGGCCACAAAAGTGCAATAAATTAGTAGCAGCTTTTGAAACGAAGACTCGACTGAAAATGAAACTACTGTCATTAAAATTTTGCATGCAATACTACAATGTTCTCAATTTTAGACAAAGAAAACTCAAAATATACAGAGGGAAGGGAAATGAGAAAGCTTTCTGTGAATTCTATCGGAATGGCTACATGAGATAGAGAGTTGCTGGTAGAAGAGTTGGAATTGGGTGAAGGTCAATCAAGGAAACATACGGGGAAAAAACCTCATGTGTGTAACAGAGAGAGAACTGGGTAAGGGCAGAAATGTGAGAAATCCCATGAGGGGTAACGAAGGAGAGAGAGAGAATTGGGAAGGCTATATGGAAAATTCCAGTAATTTTTCCTTGCAATCCATTAATTGGAAATAGCAACTCTTTAACTTTCAACCAACACTATATCAGATTTGGTAACATTAAAAGGCCTAATCTTCCTATATTAGTTCCTCCTAAAAGCTTCCCCTCATCCCTAATCTTCCAATATCACTTTTTTTCTCTTCAACCCCTCACACCCCTCAAGCATATATAAATCAATTAAATTTGACAACTCCTAGGATTAAATAAATATGAGATTTATATGAAAATAATAGGAAAATAGGATTTAAGGAAGCATTAAGATTTACACAGGGGGCCTGTTTAGATGCAGGTTTTAGGTCAGATTTAGGGAAGAATTGAGCGAAATTCTGCCAAACGCCAAAAAATAAAAACTTAGCCATCTCCAACCGAAAAACTCAATTTTCCTCCAAAATACAGTAATACTCCAAAACTCCAACCGAACTCCATTTTTTACCCAAAAAAAAAAAGAACACTGTGTGTATACTTTCTTCCTCATACTTTATTCTAATTTAGCGTGTGAACACCCTCACGTAATGGCGTGTGTTTTGACGATCGGATGGCAAAGAAGTGTTAGGCGTTCGTTCGACTGGCGGTAAGTCCAATCTCTACCTCACGGCATTTTCGCCATTTTTGCACAATATCCCTGATTTCGTAAATCCGACTTTTTTTGCGGAAATCGTAAATCCGACCGAAGAAGGACGCGAAAGGGGAGAAATATCGTTACCTTCGGGGCGATCTCCCTGCGCGACTTCCGACCCAGCAGGAATAAAGTCGGAGGAGGTGGCAGAGAAGTATCGACTACTGTAATTCGCGCGAAGCAGAACAGCAACAATATAAATGAAGAAGTGGAGAAGCAAACCCCAGACAACTACCCCCACGCGAACCAGCGAAGCGTAAACTCTACCTCGCGCTAAATCTAACTTGCTGCCAAACAGCCCCTAAAGCTAGGCAAATTATTACGTCTCATATCCGTATTCGTCCGGACAGTAATTCAGATGTGGGGTGTCATCAAAATACATTGAGATTCAATATATTCGGATGATGTGACGCGTCTAAATTGTATGTCCGGACATCCGGTTCTAAATCCTACTAACCCTTGCAACAAAATGGCTAGTATTTAACTGAACCCAAATATATGGTAACTGTCATAATGATGAGTAAAATATCTGTAAAATCTGGAATTTATAATAAAAAAACACTAAAGCTAGTGAAATCATCCACATGAATGATTTCAAAAAATCTATTTATAATAGTCTATAACGGGGTAAATAGAGGAAAACACCCAGATTAGAAGGAAAAATGTAGAGAATGTAAAGTATTTTATGTGTATATTTTGATAATATTATTATTTGATTTGATGTAGTGCAATATTTTAGTATTTTTGGAATTCATCATATACTTTATTTTTGTGTATTTGAGATTCCTCCACTTTGAGTGAGTTCTAAATACACCAAAAATTTATTGTAATTGCATGTGTCGAACGCCATCGCCGACTACCGCTACCACCGTCGGCCACCATCGCCCACTACCACAACCACCGTCACCCACTGTCGTCACATCTCACCACCACTATCGCTGGCCTCCATAGCCACCCACCACCATTGTTGTTTGTCATCACCACCCCGCCGCCACCTCTGAGCACTGCCACCCCACCGCCACCGCCCACCACTACCATTGTTGTTTGCCATCACCACCCGAGCTATCAAGGTCAGCCAACTACCACAACCATTTTTGCACTTTGCATTACATTTATTTTACTTCAAATAAAATTTAAGGAGTTAAAAATAATTTCATATATTCACGAGAAGCGGTTGTGGGGATCACAGGAGAAGTGAGAGAATTGTAAAGAGAGGAAGAGGGAGAAAGAATATCAAGGTGATGGGGTTTACCTCTCCTGGAACCTACACAAAAAAGAGCAATGTCTTGACACCTCGCCGCCTAAGGAAATGATGGCAACGTTGTGATGAAAGGAGAAATTATTATGTGTGGAGTCTGAGATCAGACTCCAATCAGAATGGATCACGTTGCCTGTACATTATGTACAATTTGTATATAAATTATATATAAATTGTGCATAGTTTGAGTACATTCTAACGCAGCCTATTTTAATTGAAGTTCGAACTCAAACTAGATCCAAACTCACATAATAATTTCCCATGAAAAGACAAGGAAAACAGCGGCGGCATCACCAACTAGGAGAGCCTGCAACTTTGATGAAGCTCCGGTGGATATTAGAATTTGAATCCTCCTTCTTAGCTTCCACCTCTTTCTACAAGATAGAAGATGACTTATTTTTATTTATTGATTAATTTATTTTAAATTTTGAGTATTGCTGTATTAGAATACTTTTCATAGAAAAACTTGTCAAAATATTTCAAAATTATTATATTTATTTTAAATTAATATTTTATTCAAGTATGATGAGTTAATACTATTTTAATCTAAAATTATTATATTCCCGGGCAATAAGAATGTAGTAAATCGAATAAACCAGGCGGGTAACGTAGTCCAACAAAATCCAGAAGCTCTGCAATTAGGCAGCAGAAGAACATCAAAAGTTTTAAGTTCTCAGCGATTCACACGACGAAAATAGACTAAAACAGCAGTTAAATTAGTACGCCATACCTCTATAAAAGAGTTCATCAAACGGTATGTTGACTCGAAATACATGGTTATTAAACAAGTTCCCTAAGTGACGCAATAGAACAGGAAGTAAATCTATTGTAAATGCCAGAGCATATAGCTTCTGTTCTCCATCCTGCTACGCTACTCTCAATCCCGCTTCAAGTTCTGGATCTTTTAACAGGAGATGGGCTGCCACCACAAAAATATAAATAAAATTAGCTCATAAATTAGAGCGAGCTAACTGGTCAAAAATAAAGCCATTATAAAATGCCACAAAAAAACTGCTGCTAGAGGTGACAAATTTATTCTACCCATTTTTGAACTTCCATCGAGATCTTAAAGCCACAGGAGATGGTTTTTTTTTTTTTCATTACCTTTCTTCAAAGACCTAGAATATTCTATAATAGAAAGATAACACTAATGGAATAATTTTCTATTTTAATTATGCAACCTTAACTCTAGAAGTAAAATTAATATTTATATCATTAATAAATCCAATATACATAAATGCATTGCATCTGGATATATTTTTTCTTCCACAAATTACATCATCATCTACAAAATACATAAGTTAAAGCACATCCATTTCAACATTATGTACAAGAATCTTCATTATATATACAAAAAATATATGGACTCAAAGCTAATCATTAAGATAACCCTAATAATCCTACTTTAACTTAAAAGCATTTGGCCCTGCCAAAATTACTTGATAATAGCCAATATTCCGGAAGACATAAAACTTAAAATTTTGATATTGCTTTCAGTTGTTGAAACATTTTATTCCCAAAGCAAATAGACCAATTTGACAGGAAATAATCCTAGAAATAGAAAACTATTGCTGAAATTATAATTTCAGCAATGTCACCAAGCAGGTTTTGAGGATTTAATGGAAGAAAAAACAAGCAAAACACCCTTGATTGAATAGTAGATGTAAGAAAGTAGCAAGATACAATTGATCCCAAGAATACCAAACTTCTAGATGCCGCTAGAGCCCAAGAATACCACAGCACCACTAAAATTAAAAAAAAACTCTATATAACCCTAACTCTAATCCAACCCTACTACAAGCACACAAAATAACTCCCAAAAAGACTAAAGAGACCTCCTAATTCAAACTTTCCCTACTAATCTCTCTCTCTCTCTCTCTCTCTCTCTCTCTCTCTCTCTCTCTCTCTCTATTTAAGTCATGGGCCCCAAAGAAGGGGGGCAGAACCTACCAGGGGTGGAAATTGATCTTACGACTGCTGTATACAAGGGACCGAGGCCCAAGTGTTGGGCCAATTGGACCGATCTCTCCTAGACCAGTCTATCAATACCACACTCCCAAAGAATCACCTTGTCCTCAAGATGAAAAGACGAAAATTGATGTTGCATCCACTCGTACAGCTCCCATGTAGCGTCATAATCAAGAAGACCCCTAATTTAATCAACACTTCTTTGATCACTCCTCTCTTTTGTACCACTTGTAGCTCTAGTGGTTCTAGCACCACTTCCAATTGCTCAGTCAGTGTGTTTGGAACCTCTGAACAAGCTATGTGATCCCCAATAGATCATCTCAACTGAGATACATGAAACACTTGGATATATGATAGCGATGGGAGTTAACCTCAAACGACAAGCTACTGCTCCAATATTCTTTGATATCTCATAAAAGCCAAAATATTTCGAGCCAGCTTCTCGTTATTCCTATTAGTTACCATCTTCCGTCTGTAAGGTCGAAACTTCAAGAACACCCTATCCCCAACTTCAAATTGGATGTCCTTCCAATGCTCATCTGCTTGTTTCTTCATAATATGTTAAGCTCTCAATAGATGTCTTCTTAATTTTTCCAAAACCTTATCCCTCCCCTCCAAGTATTCTTTTACCAAAGAAACTGGAGTGCTATGTTGCCCAAAATGCACCAAGTGAGATGGGTCTCACCCATACAACACCTTGAATGAGGTCATCTGGGAAGCGGAATGATACGAAGTGTTATACCAGTACTCCGCCCATGCTAGCCACTTGGCCCAAGGCCCAAAGCCGAGGTGTCTCCGACACAAAACATTGTAGGTATGTCTCCAGGCTCCTATTCACCAGTGACCACCTTTGTCTGCCCATCTGTCTGGGGTTGGTAAGTTGTGCTCCTCTTCAATAATGTCCCCTAAAACCTGCATAAATCCCTCCTTGGTTGATAACTTTTCTTGCGGATCTAATGGTACCCAGACTTCAGATCTATCTTGGTGAAAATAATTGTCCCACTCAGCTCATCCAATAGCTCAACTATCACTGAAATAGAAAACTTGTCTAGCACAATTTTCTTATTCAAAGCCATGTAGTCCACACAAAACCTCTAGCTCCCATCCTTTTTTCTTAACCAACAAGACTGGACTAGAAAAAAGGCTCACACTAGGCCTGATAATCCTTGCCTCCAGCATTTCCATGATCAATTTCATCCTTCTGAAATTGAGGATAACAATATGGCCTGACACTGATTGATGACACCCCCTCCCTTAGGGTGATGACATGCTCCTGCTCCCTTGGTGGTGGCAATCTTTGAGGTGGATGAAAGACCTCACTAAATTGTTGTATCTTCACCATCCTCCAATATGATCCCCTCTAATTTTGTAGCAGCTCCACCAGGAAACCTCCCCACATCTCCTACATGGTCCTTACCATCGTTTTGAGGGACAACATGGCTTTGGATAACCCTGCATCTCCCCTAATCATTATTATTCTCCCCTCCACCACCAGCTCCATGGTCAGTGCCCCTCAATTAACCTTGGTCCACCAAGGTCTGCAATCATTTCATCCCCATGAAGACATCGGTGCTGCAAAACTCCAGTAGTCAACACTACTCCCTTACAAATGCCCTTTCCTGTCTCCACCTTATTGTATCCACCAAAGTCACCCCAAATTGGTGCACAACCTGGTTGGAGATGAAATTGGGATAGCCCCACTGTCGATCAACACTATCACCTCTTAGTCTGTTATTTCCCCCTTCACCTTCATGGTCTGACTATGAGTGAATCCTACCACTAAGTTCAACAAGACCTCAACCACATCCAGATGCAGCTTGTCCTCCTCTAACCCAGTCTCACTCCCACCTCCCTCAACTTCCTCGTCATCACAGTCGGTGAGAACCTGAAGAGTTTAATCTTTGCACCTGTGCCCCAGAATATTATTTCTCGTCACGTCAAAAATATAATCCCTTCACCCTCTTTTCTTGCACCTCCATCTCAGCAAAATTTTTGAAATTTCTCCCACTTCCTCTTCATATAAGCTTCTTCCCCATGATCTCACGAAGGTTGCCTGATGTAAGCCCCTTGGGTGCTAAGAAAGTGGTGGTCATCATGTATGAACGAACTGAACCAACGCCTCTAGCTCCCCTCTCCTGGCACTTCTGATCCTCCACCAACTGAGCTAGCTCTATAATCTCTTCCAAGTCTCGAGGCCTCATGACTCTCATTGTTGCTCATATCTCTAATTTAAGCCCCTTCATGAAATTTCCCTCTAGAACAATCGTAGACAAACGATCCAGTCGACTCGCTAGATACTCAAATCTCTCACGATATTCTACCACCGAACCTTCTTGTACTAGTGCAAAGAACTGCTCATAGAAGTCCCCTCCCCTGCTGGTTTGGAAACGTTCCAATAAGCACTTTTTGAACTCCCTCCAACTCCGTATAAGCTGCCTCATGTCTCTCCACTGGTACCAAGCTAACACATTCCCTTCCAAACATAGGCTAGCTGCCATCAATTTCTCCTCCTTCGTCAACCCATTAACGACGAATTATCTCTACCTTATATATCCACCCATGTTCATCCTCCTCCTCAAAGATGGACATCTTCAGCTTTTAGACCTTCAAATCCCTTCCATTTATCCTAATTCCTCCATAGTTTCCCCTTACCCAAGTGAACCCCCCTCCCCCACCCCCAGTCTCACTCCCACCTCCCTCCTCAGCTTCCTCGTCATCACAGTCGGTTAGAACCAAAAGAGTTTGATCTTTGCACCTGTGCCCCAGAATATTATTTCTCATCACGTCAAAAACATAATCCCTTCACCCTCTTTTCTTGCACCTCCACCTTAGCAAATTTTTGAAATTTCTCCCACTTCCTCCTCATATAAGCTTCTCCCCAATGATCTCACGAAGGTTACCCGATGTAGGCCCCTTGGGTGCTAAGAAAGTGGTGGTCATCCTGTATGAATGACCTGAACCATCGCCTCTAGCTCCCCTCTCATGGCACTTCTGATCCTCCACCAATTGAGCTAGCTCTATAGTCTCTTTCAAGTCTCGAGGCCTCATGACTCTCATTGTTGCTCATATCACTGATTTAAGCCCATTCATGAAATTTCCCTCTAAAACAATCTTAGACAAACAATCCAGTCGACTCGCTAGATACTAAAATCTCTCACGGTATTCTACCACTGAATCTTCTTGTACTAGTGCAAAGAACTGCTCATAGAAGTCCCCTCCCCTGCTGGTTTGGAAACTTTCCAATAAGCACTCTTTGAACTCTCTCCAACTCCATATAAGCCGCCTCATGTCTCTCCACTGGTACCAAGCTAACACCTTCCCTTCCAAACATAGGCTAGCTGTCATCAATTTCTCCTCCTCCGTTAACCCATTAACAACGAAATATCTCTACCTTAAATATCCACCCATGTTCATCATCCTCCTCAAAGATGGACATCTTCAACTTTCAGACCTTCAAATCCCTTCCATTTATCCTAATTCCTCCATAGTTTCCCCTTACCCAAGTGAGTCCCCCACCCCCCCTCCATCAACCCATTAACGCAAAATATCTCTACCTTAAATATCCACCCACGTTCATCATCCTCCTCAAAGATGGACATCTACAGCTTTCAGACCTTCAAATGCCTTCCATTTAGCCAACCCCCCCCCCCCCCAAAAAAAAGTCCTGATCCTTCCTTCGACATTCATACCCAAACCCTTCTTTGAATTCCCCCCTCCTTCCTTCAAAATCAACACCTTTCTGGCCATAATCTCCCTCCCTTCTTTCCCAATCAACACCTATTCCTCATACCCCACGTGTCCACACCTCTCTCCATACCTTCCACATCTCTTCTCCCATTGGAAGGATTCCAAATGGGGTCTTCTCCCTTATCCCTCTACGATCTACACATCATTTCCATCCCTACGAATTTCAAATTCGTATTTTTTCCTTCCGGCCCTCTCATCACCTTCGATGTCAAGTAGATCAAAGAGTTGCTCTTCCATGGAGAAAATTCTATCCTCCACCGTTGCTTTGATTTGGTTCATCCCCCTTCAAGACGTTCTTCCAACTCATCCACCTTTGTGGCCACCATTGATACCCAGATCTTTGTTAGACTCAAAAATCCGTATTCCTACTCCAAAAACAGCAAAAATAATTGTTGGGGCAAGAAAAACTGTAGCAAGAATCAGCCAAAACAGCCCCAAAACAACCTCAAAAAGTGTCTATGATACCAATTTGATAGTAAATAATCGTAGAAACATAAAACGATTGCTACAATCAGAATTTCAACAATCTCGCCAAGCAGGTTTTGAGAATTTAATGGAGGAAAAACAAGAAAAACACTTTTGCTTGGATAGTAGATGAAAAAAGAAAAAAACAAGATACAATTAATCCTCAATTCAAGAGGAAGATCTATCTTTCCCAAATCTCTGGACGCCACTAGAGCCCACGAATATCAAAGCACTAGGAAAAATCAGAAAAACTCAATATAACCCTAAACCATAATCCAACCCTACTACATAAAGCACGCAAAATAACTCTCAAAAGGACTAAACAACCCTCCTAATTCAAACTATCCCTCCTAATCCCCCCCCCCCTCTTTCTCTTTCTCTCTCTCTCTCAAGTTGTGGGCCCAACAGGAGGGCGAAAACAACAGGCTTATGCCTGCTATATACAAGGGGTCTATCTCCTGGACGGGTCTATCATAATTCAATTCTTATTTTGTACCCAACCTATCGAAATGTCTCCCATATGCACCCACATTCAATAAAAATATTATGAGAGCTTTTCTTTAAAAGTTTTTACTTATTAACATAAAAATTGCTTTCACAGTGAATCTCACAAGCATAAAACTAAATTGATTTCATGATGTCAACATAATTTCTGAAGTTCTACTAATATATCTTAAAACTTGAATGAAAAACTCCCAACTTTGATTATTTTATGGCTACAATAATCTAGAGCATCTCAATTTTTCTTAAGGTATTAAAATCTTTTTTCGTGGATGCAGACAACTTTGACATCCCTCAGAACTTCAATGTATAACTCCTAAGTTTGATTATTTTATAAATATAATAATCTAGAACATCTCCATAGTAGTTAAGGTATTAGAACCATTCTTCCCGTTACATAAACACAAGTTTAATAACTACTGCATAATTGTGAAACGTTTTAGAAGGATAAAATCCATTTTCCATTCATAACTTTCACCTTCCATCAAAAAATTTTGAATTAATAAGAGATATTTAACATATTATGTGAAACAAAAAATGAATTCTATTAAAGATGCACCTCCCTCCCCCCTAAAATGCAAATCATCAAAAACAGTAGCTTTTACTTTGCTCAGTGATCTCTTAGCAAGGCTTGTAGAGAAAATATATGATCAAATCCATAAGCCATAAGCCATAAGCCACACGAGTGCACATAATATAAAAACAAAAAGCACTCTTTCTTCAAACCCAATTATACCCAATCAAATCACAAAAAGAAGCCTCTAATATCTCAAAACCAAATAAAAAAGAGAATAATTCCATAGAGCCAATAAATAAAAAGAATTAAACTAGCACAAAAAATTGCCCAACTTTAAAAGATCCCCAAAAGATTGCTCTACAAATTTACTAAAACATAGCTAAGTTTATGACATGACCACAACAATAGATCAAGTTTAACTCAAAATTCTTTCTCTTGCAATTCCCTACTCACCTAGATTTAATTTCTAAAGAAGGCTGAAATAGTTGGCAACAACTAAGAAATAATCTACATTGTCATCACTAAGGGGGCCTCTTTATTTGTGCAATCATCATAACAAATTAATCTATCACCGATCTCATCTTATGAAATATAATGACTCTCAATACGCTTTTTTACATTTATTTAAGTCATCTTCCTCTTTCATAAATATTTTTCATCAACATAAAGATAAGATTAATACTCTAAAATTTTTAAAGTATTAATTGATCCTAAGCGGTGACTACGACGGTGGTGGATGCGGCAAAGGCGGTGGGTGCAGTGGGCGGCAGAAGGTTGAGGCAATCAAGAGGAAGTTGATATGGCTCGGGGTGCATGTAAGTGTGATTTGTTCAAGGTTTTTATTTAGGATTTAGGTGTGTGTGTGTGTGTGTGTGTGTGTGTGTGTGTATATATATATATATAGGGTGAGGCGTAAACCAACTAGGTGAGGCGTGTCTCAAGGCGAGCTTTAGCCAAGCTAAGGCGCAAACCTCATAAAAAAGTTTGAGGCGTAAGTCTCAAGGCATTTTCACTAGAATTGTACTAAGGTGGGTCTCAAGGAAAGTCTCATATTACGCAATTTTAAACAATGTCGTATCATGATTGACTCATCTACCTCTTTTAATAACTTACCATACAAGATTAATAATTTCTTCTCTTTCAACTTCAGGAACATTAAGCCCAGGGCAACTTATTTTTAATTATGACCTTCATCACCTGCATAAGGTTCATATCAATAATATATTATGTGGTCGAATCAGGATTTCTCAATACAGTGTCTCCCATCCTCTCAGCCACTGTAGGCCAATAACCCATGCATGCACAGCCTTATTTGGTTATCCCCTTCATCATCATTATTATTATTATTATAAACATTAGAGGTGGATTACAAAACAAAATGGTGCCATTTAAAAGAACTTGAGCCCAAAAAATCCTTTTAGAATCTGATTTCATCGCAAAAATAAATAGATAATTTCTTTTATTCTAAAATAACTGATTTTAAATTGGCGCATAACTAAAGGATCATTGAATTAATAATTCTAACACTAGCCTATCTTGAACCAATCTATCAATATCATTTGTCTGGTGATTTTTGCGAAATATCAGAAACCTCGTTCAGGTTAACTTTTCAGTCAATTAACTGATAAAACAAAGGGTTCTCTTGATAACGACTTAGAAATAAAAAAAATCTTAACCTAAGCTTGACGAATGTTATGAGGATTTAGACTACAAAAATCAGTATAAATAGCATCCAAATTATTATGAATAATATAAATTATATATTTACTAGCATTTTTCCATTATTTTCAAAAAATATCTAAATAAACTTAAATATTCAATTATATCTTGAGCAGAATCTATAAACCAAAAATATCAAAGTTAAAATAATAAAAATCATTGAAAATAAAGTACTTCATTTTCATTATTTTTTTATAAATTTTTTTTTGTTATAAATTATATGCTTATAATTTAGAGCTTAAGCTTAGCATATATATATATATATATATAATTCAAATTTATTCATGAATAAAATGAAATATATAAATTATTCATCTAAATAAAAAGCAATATATTTGTAATTTAATCACTTCTCATTTAAAAATAAATCATATGAGAAGGATGATACCGACCATGTATAGCCATAAACCTTTCCCAAATAACCTTGCAAGCTAAAAAGTCCTATCAAGAAACCCGCAAAAAAAGACAGCTGACCATAAAAAAGAAAAAAAAAACGATTACCAGTAACAATTTCAACCTGAAATAACAAAAGGTTATTGGCTGCATTCATCACCTTCGATATTGGTAGTAATCAGGGCTTCTGCTTCTACCATATGATGGTCCGTTGAAATGGTCATAATCCGGACTGCGTGGCCGCCGCCCATAGTCAGGGCTTGGACGGCTCCTGTAGATTGGACTAACAGAGCGGTGATACGGATCGCCACGCCCACCATAGTCTCTTCTAGGGCTGTCAAACCTGTCACCTCTTTCACCATCATCCCTATGGGCATACTCAACTGAAACCACTCTATCAAGAAGCTTACTGCAGGAAAAAAAAAAAAACAGTGCAATTAGATATTAATTAGACAACCATGAAAAAAATGATGGTCCCAAAATTTTAAAAAGAAATAAATTGCAATCAGGCCATGCACATTTCAGTTCACATGCTCCAGTTCAATCTAAAATGAAGGGAATGATAAACTGATTTATGCTTCGAAAGAAAACAAAGTTCTCTGCCTGCCTCCTTTTTTTAACAAAAAACTTGGGAATGAATAAAAAACTGATTCTTATAATGTCTACGAACAGAGAAGAACTAACATGAGCGATAATGTGGATCTTGAGTAAGAACAAATTAAGGAAAACTTACAACATGCAATCCAATCCTCCAATCCATAGGATAGAATGATCGAATTGTAGACATCTAATCATTGTCAAATTAATTTATTCAAATAAATAAAGATAAAGAAAAACATAGTATTATGAAGATTTCAATAGCCAGTTTATTCAAAAAATTGATATAAGTATTAATTAATGTAATAAATGTTCTAAAAAATCATAGTTCAAGTAGCCAATATGAAATGAAAGCTAGTTAAATTGTCCTTCATGAATTGGTGTACTATTTTAAAAGCACAGCATATAAACTAATTACCAACCTAGGTGAATACATATAACCAAACAATTTGTTCATCTAATACTCTTTTAGTTCATTGCATGGTCACTTTTTTATATAATCTTTGTTAAAATATGGCCACACTACATCTGGAGTAGTTACCTTGCCACCACACCAGTTGTGGAGAGAACTGTTAACAAGCTAAAGAAAATCTAAATGTTAGAAATGCTATTGTTTTTTAATGAACTTAAATTGTCATCAATGCCTTACATGCATGTTTGGGAATTGAGTTGAGAGAGATTGGCTAACTGCTAACCGCTTTTGGTCAAAAATCTTTGGGGCTTAAATAATGTGGTTTTACATTTGAACTTAATGTTTGTACAAAAGAACTAGAATGAACAAGGGCATGTAAGACTCAAGTAAGAATGGGGATGGAATGAGGACAGAAAAGCTGATATTGAACATGAAATGGCTTGGATATTTATGCAAATAGAATTAAAGGGTGCAAAAAATTACTAGTAATTGAATGGGTGCAATTGCACCCCTTCAAAGTTAATAGATCTGTCAGCAGTTGTAATGCGGTGCTCATTGCAAGAAAACAGGAACTCATTTAAATTTCAATCCACAATCACTTATAACTGAATGGCGTTTGATACCGAAACAGAAGAAAACTTTGCTCATAATAGATAACCATATTTGGGTAAATTTAGATGATACAAAAAGAGAACTTCAAAGAACCTCATGTTTGTGCATTCAAGCGCCTTCGTGGCTTCATCTTGGCTATCAAATTGCACAAATGCAAAATTCCTCCGAATACGGACGTTAAGAACTTTGCCAAATGGTTCAAAATGCTTTTCAATATCTCGAGTTCTAGTACGGAGTGGATCAAAATTTATGACAAACAATGTTTTTGTTGGCCTTGTGTTTGCCATTCCCCTTGAGCTATCCCGGTAACGTCCACGTTCTCCCTGATAAAACAAGCATACACATAAATTAGCTCATATCAACACCATCTCAAGATAAATATTGTCAATCATACAATAACTTGACCCAAATAATGCTAAAGCAATAATATCAGTCAGATAAATATGTGCAATTCGGTCAACAACAATCTAAGAATTGGTTAGATGAGAAATATACCCTGGACCACTCCACTGACAACCTCCGCTTGCTATGCCCAAATGGTGCATTATCAAGGCTTCGTATAGCATCCTCAGCATCACGTTCATCCTCAAAATAAACAAAAGCAAATCCTACAAAAGGCAAGAAAAATAAGCGAGAGTACCATCTTACTTAGAATGTCCATTCCCATAGTCAGAAAACACTACCACATCCAAGCAGTTCAATTATTCCTACTTAAAAAGATAAATACTACACCTGATGGTATTGGTAGGCGGGATGAACATAGGAATGTCAAAAATGAAGTCCTTGTAAGAACAGAGACTAAAACATGGTGTCTTATAAGTTTAATCCATGGTCAGGAGTCATTGCTGAGCATGCTTCACCATTGTAGAGAAGGCATTCAGCAGGCACGGCATGATGGAACGACTCTTAAGCAATGACGTTCTGGCAATGGCAACTTTAGACTATGCAGGAATGAGAAACAGATGATCGTGTGAAGGAAATAAAAGATGTCGGTAGTTAATGGTGTGAGCTGATAACCGGCAGGAAGGTTTCCTTTGGCATGGGAGGTTTGCATGGAAGATAGAGAGCCCAGATAGAGCTCGGATTCCTTAACTGCCTCCTGCGTCAAAACAAACATTTAAATATAGAGGTCCTTTTGCAGAAATTAGTTCTTGGTCTTAGAAGATCAATTAGTTTCTCAAAAGGGTAGTGATATAAGTTACAACAGCCAAGCTACAAAGCTTGTTCCTATTAGGTCCCTGGAATAAAAACTTAATGAACAATTAAACTCAACGAAGCCATCTAATGGCAGAAGTGACACCCTCACCACGCACATGACACACTCACAAACGCCCTACTAGTCAATTACTCCTGAACTCTTTGTAAGGCCATATTCACATAAATAAATATAACATGGCAGTGCTAACACGCAAAAGGGTATTACAAGACAAAAGCTAACAACAGACTAGCCATTAAGTTGAAAAACTTTCATTTACTATCGAAAAGAGGAAAAAAATACAGCCAGCGTATACTCCACTCTTTTTTTTATGGCAGGTCCTGACAAGTGCTCAATACAACTATGAATTTTACTCAAAATGGCATCCTATTCAGCACATATGGCAATAATAGCATCAGCATACTTTTGAAGCCAATGTTTATCATAAAAGATAATCATATATCATTCGCAACAAGAATTAAGAGAATTAAGAGGAAATCCCCAAACTATTGTTTACCATAGAAAACTGCCAAATGCATGATATACGAACTGATTAAACTAATTATACCATTTGGCATTAACAGCCATCAATTACACACCAAAAAAAATGAGTACATTACTAATACCTACAAGCCATGAAGATCTTGCAGCACTTCCAAACACCAAAGCCTTCTGACCCATTCATAATAACACCCTCTCTGAACGAAGATGATTCACACTTTTTCTTATTTATACGCCCCTTTTTTTATCGAAGTATGTTTAGATTAATAGATTAATAAAAATCTGCATGGCTTTACGAGAAGTTCGATGTTTTTTTATGTTAAATAGAATAAACCTGAATCTGAACTTATTTTCCAGCTTAAACGATTAGCCAGCTAAATGTTCCAGGCAAATTCCCTGTCATTGATCAAGCTACGGATTCAAACTCTAATATGAAGCCTACAGCTGCCTGCTTCAGAATGTTCCTCCAATGTTTCATCAACCAGGCTTGATGGCGATTAATCTGTATGCTGTAATATTAATCTGTTTGGCCATTAAAGATGTATCCTCCGCTATAACTTCCTATTGAAAAACATAGTTTCTTTCACATTTTAATGTTTTGGGAAGCACTGATCTATTTTTAATTTTTTGAAGGAAAAGAATCAGAACACCAATTCTTATCAAATTAAAGATATCAGAACTACTAACTTCAAATGCCATTCGTAGCAAGAAAAGGGATGACATGGGGAATGTAATTTAAGTCATGAATAATTGCTTTACCGGATTTCATGTCGATCCGATCAACCCTTCCGTATCTGGAGAAGAGCCGCTCCAGATCTGAATGGCGAGTTTCGTACTCGAAGTTTCCGCAGAAAACAGGCCTCATCATCAAATCAAGCCAGAAACAACCTAACTAAATCTGAAAGAAAATGTGAATGAAAACTAGAAGAACACAAAAAGACTTATCTCCAAATGCCAGGAGAGGACGAGTAGAGAGAAGAAATATTACCAGGTCGGAAGTTTTAACTTGAAACCCTAACGTTTCGGGGCGATCGCCGAGGACTGGATTCCAACGAAAAGGAGAAAACTCAAAACTTCAACGAAGAAGCTAGGGCTGCCGTGCGACTGGTTTAAATAGAAGAGGGCAAGGCAAGCAACTGTCGAAGTTTTTGTCGCCGTGACATTAGATGGGCTGTGAACGGCCCATTTTAAAATAGAATATCCAGTAGCCAGGTTATGATGCAAACCTAGGCCCTTTTGAAGTATTATATATCAGAGCTCTGTATTGGGTACCCATACTCATACCCATCCACGAACCCACCCATACCCAATGGGCATGGGTGATATGGGTGGGTACTCAACATCAGAGGTCAAATCGATTTACATTACTACTTATCGTATGTATGCAATATATTACAGTAATCCTTAATATGTAGTGCACAGCACTGAATCACATTGCGACCACGATAAATTTTGATATTTGGCTTGATGGTTTCCAATCGGAGAAAAGAGCAACAAACTTCAAGGCCATTTATATGTGGCAGACTGCATTCAAGAAGAGTCGAAAGTGGGTGAGTGTGGGTGGGTATGACATCCCGAAAGTCACCGTAAGTGGGCTTGGGTGGGCAAAGCCCGCCAATGCAAAGCATGGGTACCCAACCAGGACCCCATGTAGGGCTCTGTTATATATGCATTATCTATATTATTTTTATTATATAAAATGGTTTCTGATTCTACCGAGAATAAACCTTCATATTATATTTACAAATATAAATTCACGCACTTCATTTTATTTTTTTTATATCTAATAAATTGAATGTAACACTGTCGTTGCCAAGTCCCAAGTCCTAGATGAGAAAAGTGGAGGGTTGTGTTAGGTAGTCGACAGTCAGCGTAAAACTTGTCGAACAATAATGACATGAATCCTTTAAGAAATTGTGTTAATGCTAGGGCGTCCCCTGGAAGCGACGCGCTGTATGGCCTAAATACAGTGACAAGTGTGCCCGGGTGCAGTGTTAAATAGGCAAGGGTTCCCACATCAAGGATGGATGTGGGCAAAGCAGCTAGTCCATGAAACTAAAATTAGGATAGGAACTTGGAAAATAGGTTCTCTTATAGTAAAATTAATGAATTAATATATATATATTATGATTCATATGAAGTTAAATATTTTGTGCATTCAGGAAACTAAATGGGTTGGAGATAATGCTAAGGAAATTGATAGTTTAGGATTTAAACTTTTGTATTCGGTATGAGTCGTACTAGAAATGGTGTATGTGTTATTATAGATAAGAGTTTAAAGGATAATGTTATAAAAATTAATAGGATTAGATATATAATTATAGTTTTAAAGATTGTTGTTGATGATAAGATTGTTAATATTATAACTGCTTATGCTCTTCAAGTAGGTTTTGATATGAGTTCTAAATTAAATTTTTGGAATGACTTAGAAGAATTAATACAAAATATACCTCTTGAAGAAAGAGTTTTTATTGAAGGAGATTTAAATGGACATGTTGGCAGAGGAGTAGATGATTTTAAAAGCATTCATGGTGGCCATGGATTTGGAACGACGAATGAAGGTGGCAATACCATATTGGATTTTTATTTAGCTTATGATTTTTTAATTGCTAATATCTTATTTAAGAAAAGGAATGAGCATATCATCACTTATAAAAATGGATATAATACAACCCAGATTGACCATTTTCTTATTAGAAAATTAAATCGTTTAGATTGCAAAGATTGTAAATTATTCCGAGTGAAAATTTATGTACCCAACATCGATTATTAGTTTTGGACTTTAAGATAAAGGGGCATAAAATAAAAAATAAAGTAAAACAATTTTCTAGGATTAAATGGGGGCATTTAAAGAATATTAACAAAAATATTTTTGTAAATAAGATTTTAGATCTTAAGATTTTGTCTGTGCATGAGGATGCTAATATTATGTGGGAAAAAGTGGCTAGTGATATTAAGAATATTGCAAAAGACATCCTTGGAGTATCAAAGGGAAAAGCTCCTAGTAGTAAAAATAGTTGGTGGTGGAATCCTAATGTGCAAGAAAAAATTAAAAATAAGAAGCTTTGTTATAAAAATTGGTTTAATTTTTAAAATTCTGATAATTGGGAAATATATAAAGTGGCTCGTAAGGATGCTAAGAAAGCAATATGCGATGCAAAGACATTAGCTTTTAGTGATTTATATAATAGATTAGATACTAAAGAGGGAGAAAGATATATGTATAAGTTAGCCAAACAAAGAGATAGGAGTAGTAAGGATTTAGTTCAAGTGAAGTGTATTAAAGATGAAGATCAAAAAATACTTTTCTTAGAAGATGATATTCAACAAAGATGGATGAGATATTTTGCTAAACTTTTTAATGAAGATTGTGAAAATAAGATTGACTATAGTGACCTTAGCACCCTAGATGAAAATAAAGATTTATGTTTTTATCGGCGTATTAGTAAAACTGAAGTTAGAGAGGCTTTAAAGAAAATGAAGGGTGGAAAAGCTGTTGGACCTGATGATATTCCAATAGAGGTGTGGAAATGCTTAGGAGATGAAGGAATTTCATGGCTTACTAAACTTTTTAATACTATTTTGAAGACTAAAAAGATGCCAGATGAGTGGAGAATGAGTATGTTAATTCCTATTTTTAAGAATAAAGGTGATGCACAAGATTGTGCGAATTATAGAGGTATTAAGTTAATGTGTCATACTTTAAAACTATGGGAGCGAGTTTTGGAGCATAGGTTGCGGCGTGATACTAATGTTTCTCAAAATCAATTTGGATTCATGCCGGGTAGGTCGACTATGGAAGCCATACATTTATTAAGAAAACGGAATATATGGAGTGTAATTTTAGTACTAATAAACCTAGTGAGGGGATTGTGACTTTGGGCGATCAAGTCATTAATAAGAGTACACGTTTTAGATATCTTGGATCTATTGTTTAGAGTGATGGTGAAATAGATGGGGATATTATCAGCATAATTCAAGTTGGATGGTTGAAGTGGAGGAATGCATCGGGCTTGTTATGTGATAGAAATGTACCCCTCAAACTTAAGGGAAAATTCTATACGATGGTAGTGAGGCCTGCAATGCTTTATGGTGCCGAATGTTGGCCTTTAAAAGAGAAGCATAATACTAAGTTAAGTGTGGCAGAGATGAGGATGCTTAGGTGGATGAGTGGCTTTACCCTTAGAGATAGTATACGAAATGAGCATATACGTGAAAAGGTTGGTAGATCCAGTAGAAGATAAGATTAGAGAAAGTCGCCTTAGATGGTTTGGTCACATAAAACGACGGCCTTGCGATGACCCGATTAGGAGAGTAGAGGTATTAGATTTGACTTATGTTAAGAAAGGTAGGGGTAGACCTAAAAAGACTTAGTTAGAAAATATTAGGAATGACCTTTCTTTATTAGATTTAAACGAGAATTTGACTTTTAATAGGACACAATGGAGAAAAAGGATTCATGTAGCCGACCACACGTAGTGGGATAAAAGCTTGATGTTGTTGTTGTAATAAATTGAATGTAATATAAATTGTAAAATAATTATGTCAGGGTTGGCTGATAGAGAGTAGTGTAAATTATTCTTTTTCAAAATTGGAAGAGAACATTTTACCTCAAAAATGATTTAGAATGTAATACACTGTATTTACTTTATTTTATCTTGGATTTGCTTTTCATTCAATCAAATATAATTTTTTTTAAAACACATACATTTACTTTGTACCCTAAAATATTACAATCAAACAAAGAGATTATTATGTACAGCCACCACACTATCCCGAGGTCAATTAGGACAACGTCACCTGATACATAGTATTACAGTAAAGATGCAGAACATATCAATAAAATGGGACATTCTGATTAACTTCTGGATGCTATCCGATTACCGCACACGTAATAATTTTGCAATCAAACAAACCTAAAAATGAAAACGTGAATTTAAATCCTGAATTTACTTATGTTTACATTAATTTTAATTATGTTCTTTCCTATTATTAATTACATTTAGAAGCTGCTGCTTCTTATAATTTTGCCTTCTCGGCTCCTTCCTGGGCAAAGAAGCCATCGTCACTCATTCCTCTCCCCAGTATGGCACCATTGATGGAGGAATGGCTGGCTAAGAAGTGCCAGATCTAGGCCCCTATGCTTCTCGTCGTGTCCCTGGATTCCTCCCTCTGAATTCCATTATAAACCCGGCGCCGAATTCATTAGTAATTAGGTAAGACATGCAGACTGCGCAAGCTTGGTTCACCGGAGGCCCGAGCAGTAGCGAACAGCAGAAAACCTCATCTTCCCTTCTCTCCGAATGGAATTCTTATGCTGCTTCGAGATCGGTGGAAGATGGCGGATCTTCTGCCCTCGGATTCGATCTTGAGGCCGCCGTTAGGACCGCCAACGATAAGGTCTCCGGGACATTCAACGTGTAAGGAACAAATTATGTCTTCTTAGGTCGCTAGATCTCTAACTCCGTTTCATCCGATAAGTTTATTGGGGGATGACGGATTAGGGTTTTGATTTATGGTGGTTAAATTGTTCATTCTGCTTTTGGATCGCTTTCTGATTTGTCATTGGTTAGCTTGAGGGTTAAGTAGTGATGAGATTCAGATAGAAAAACGATAATGGAGGAGTTATTCAAGAGACCTGTAGGTGCATAGGTTAGTCATAACTATTTTTATAGCTGCAGGGTAAGTCCAGTATCTGCATTTTGCAAATTAGAGATGTTTATTACCTTTGTGGGGCTGATGGGTTCAGATATGCTCATTATGATGGTTTCCATCCATTCTCACCTGGAATGACCGATGTAGTTGCCCTATGAACAGCTAGTTATGCTCGGGTGTTATTCGTCAAGTAGCTTCACAAGAGATTCAGTAAATGCTCGTTTCATACTTATTTATAGTTTTTTGAGTACTTTATCATTTCTTTGTATCAAGCTTGATTGCATCCCATGCACTTGAAGTAAGATTTATTATTAGGAGGGTATATGAACAACATAATCTTATTTTTTTTAGCAAATAATTAGATAGTTATATTTCATTGCAGTTTCATCATTTTTTAATTATGATATGGAATTAAATAAAGTTTTATGAGTAGCTATTAACAAGTTTGTATTGAAGAATGGGATCATATGTCTAAATGATCTAATTTAGTTTCATAGAGATTATAATTAGTCAAGTTTGATTAAAGCTCTATAAAATTGTAAATAAACTTGCTTGAGCATGATTTAGCTGGTATAATACTCAAATTCAACTCAAACTTGATTAGAAAATAAACGAGCTTGAATAGGCAATAGTTGACACTACTTAGCTCTTTTACAAATCTTATGTATTCTCAACGTACATAGTTGTTGAACATAGTTATAGTACATGCCTATCACTAAGCCATTGATACCATGAAGAAGTGGTTTGTTACTTATAAGTCCAATTATGGTTGGGTTTTTCCTGGCTTCATTTATTGCTTGAGATGTCACACACAAATTCATGACACCTTATTCTAGAAAATTTATTAGTTGTTTAAAATTCATATAGCCGGACTTGTAGGACAGACAAGCTTTTTTTTTTTTTTTTGCTTTGTTGTTAAAGTAGTATCGTTGGACAGCCATTTAATAATAGAAGCAAATTAGTTTGAATGTTTTCTAAAAGTGGTATGCTTAGGTCATGCTATTTAAATAATGGGGATTACTTATGTGATTATATTGAATTGTCTCATGTTTGATAGCCCTAATTTCCCTTTTTGTAATCATAATGTCAAGCTTGGTAAAAAAAGATGCAATACTCATCTATTTTATGAGTTGTTCTAAAAGTATGGTACATGATACTTCTTTAAGCATATAATAGCTTTGACATCTAAATTCTTGTTTAATTGCTCACTTTATATGTGTGTTCAGCTCTGTTTCATGGACATGATAGAGCTGAATGTCTAGAACAAGTTATGCTTCTGCCTTCTGTCGACAATCTTTCTTTAATAAAAAAATATTAGGAAATGACATTTGAAGATTCTAGAAGGATATCTAGAAAATTGTTGAGCAATACTAGCATGTAAATCCACACATAAAGTTTGGTATAGCAGCTAATTTTCTTGTCAATTTTTTCTTTGGGACCACTTTTACATTAACTTATTACATGAGTTAGTATACTTTTTCTTATTCTGTAACACCAACCTGTTATTGTCTTTTTTAGTGTGATGGGATGGCTTGGTCCACTTCTCATAAACGTCCTTGCGGTGTAGAAGCATTGGTGAAATTTTTTGTAAGATATAGGCAAAATTTGAAATCTTAAAAAAACAAGAAATCTCAAAGCAATCTATGAAAACCTAACCACTCCAATGATGGAAGCCATTATTAAAACTTATAATTGGAGGGATCAACATTAAGTTGAGGCTTAAAGTCCCATTTTGTCATTAAAAATTATTCCACAAGGGCACGTCACTCCTATGACGAGCATTATTGAAGATCATAGTTGGAGGATTCATTAGCACCATCTATCAATTAAAAGGAAATGTGATGTGAAACTACTAGGAGTTACGTTTAGAAATGAGAAAGAAAATTGTTTTAAGTTTGCCCTTATAAATTTATTTCAATCATGCAAGAGAGAGTTAAGAATTTGAAAATTTAACTTGCTTAGTCCAAAGATTAGCAATAGAGAATAACTAAGACTATCCTTTCAAAAACCAAGGTAATATTAAATGCAAAGTACAAATAACATAACCCCACACTTAACAATGAGAGGTTCACCTCAAGGCCTTATCACTCAACTACTTGTAGGCTTTAGCGGAGAAAGGTGAGCCAAATAATGAAAGATATTACCACTACAAAGATGGCGCCGAAGAATTTTGTTGGTGGAGTGGTAGCCGGTGGAGATGGACGTAGTGGGTGGCCGACGAGGCTCCAATCGTAGCTTGAAAATCGTTGGTCGATGATGCTTGCAAGAATCGGGACGACTCGCTCCAAATATTCTTCAACAGTAGTTTCGTCTTCAAATCTCACGTCAAAGCATGGAGATCTTAGGATGTTGATGCTTCCGTCGGCGTTGAATACAAGACCCCATTCAAGCTCGGGATCCGCCATTCAACATTGAAGATAATAGGAGAGGTGTCGTCCTCTTCGTCTCTAGGCTTCTCAATGCACGAGAGAATGAGAGAAAAGGGGAGGGGCCGGCGGGATTCTCAAGGGGAGAGGGTGAAGCCGGCGGGTGCAAGGGGGAGAGCTAGGGTTTGGAGAAAATAGGTTTAGGAAATTATGGGAGAGATTAATCAAATATGAAATTTAATTTCAGTTTGAGTAATTTAGGAGGGAATTGACTTGAAATTTGAATTTCAAATCAATTGAAATTAAAGCCTTAATTGGGCAGTTAATGGGGGAGAACCCATGAGAGGGGGCCGGCGGGTTTTAGAAGGGGGAGGAAGTTTTATTTCATAATTTGAAATTGATTTCAGATTATGAATGAAATTAAGGGGAGTTATTTTGAAATTTGAATTTTGGATCAAGGCATTGATGGCATTAAACTAGCATTAAATGGATTTCCCCCTTGATGAGGCCGGCGGCATGTAGAGAGGAGAGGAGGGAGATTAGTGAGAATAAAGCAATTTCCAATTAGGAGGATGCCACCTAGGATGAGAATTAGTAACTCCTCATGTCATGAAATTGGAATTGGATTCAATTCAATTATTTCCTTATTTAGACTTTGACAATTATGGAAATTTTGGAGCTCATTCAAATTTGAATTTTCGAAATTTGAAAAGAAAGGTGGATGATGAGAGAGGTACTATGATGCTAAATCCCTTAACCTGAATCAAAAGACTTGTAACAGAAAAATCTCCTTCATTTCAATGATGAGTTTGATTATTGAAATTTGTAACTAGAGGGGTGACCAATACTATTAGCGCCACCACCTTCCCTGAAAAGATAAATCAAGCAAACTCTCATCATCTCATGAACCGTAGTCATTGCATTATTTCTCCAACCTCCCCCTTATTTATACACATGAAGGAATATTGTTGAAAATGCAAATCCGTCTTTCAAACATTAAATTGTATGCACCAAACGGGATATTTTGATTGAAATTGTAGGTTTTGGTGGGGTTGACCACTACGTTTATAATGCTTAAGCTTAGTGACCAAAATATGATTATTAGTCAAAATGATGGACCAGAATCACTAAGAAAATTATAGATCTTCCACATGCTGTATCCTTTTTCTTAAAATTTTTTTAATTACCCATATGTATTGGATTCTCATCACTGAACCACGTATTACTTTGGTCAAAGTTGCACATTGCAAATTGCTGTATTTCAGTTTACCTATACATCTAAATTCATGCGCAAAATTTTCTTTCAATGCTTCTATTTGGTTTGAATCAATACAAATATTAATTTATTTACTTGCATCAATTTAATGACCTGTATTCTATTTTCAATTTTATATAGAACGCATTTATTCCTGATCTAGTTGTGGTACAAAATTTTCTTTCAATGCTTCTATTTTATTTGAATCAATACAAATATTAATTTATTTACTTCCATCATTTGTATAACCTGTATGCTATTTTCAATATTATATAGAAGGCATTTATTCCCGATCTAGTTGTGGTACAAAATATTTCTTTTAAGTATTTATATATATGTTTAAGAAACTATGAAGTATTGGTGCCATTTGGTTTGTGTGTTGTCTGATTTAATACTTACTGTTTGAATATTTATTAATATCCATACGTTTCTGTTGGTTGCTGTGATCATCACTGCTAGTTTTATCCCAGCTATTTGAGGGTTTTGGTTACTCATCAGGGTCTCAAAAAGTGTGAGGGAAATACCTGGAAGCTTCCAGACTGCTACAAGTAGTGTTCCTTCTGGCAAGGCTCTCATGTACTTTGGACTGCTTCTCGCTAGTGGAGTGTTCTTCATCTTCATAGCATTCACCATGTTCCTTCCAGTTATGGTTCTAATGCCTCAGAAATTTGCAATCTGTTTTACTCTTGGCTGTTGCTTCATTATTGGATCCTTTTTTGCTCTTAAAGGTCCAAAGAATCAACTGATACACATGTTTTCAAGAGAGGTATGCTTATTATGGTTGAAATTCATATACTCTGCACTATCTATTGCAAAACTTAGCTTTCAAAAGCGGTTGCTGTGTTCTGAAGAATTATGGCTTGTGGATTTCTCATACATACTATATGTAGCTTTAATTTAGTTTAATTTTCTGGTTGAAGTTTATGAAGCATAGACATTGACACGAGACATGAACATTGGGACTGCATAATCCTAAATATTAGGATATGATATTTCATGGATACATGTTTTTTTTGTTAACTATTAATGCAAAATGTTTAATCAACATACTTGATCTTAACCATAAAAAAATTTCACACAATGAATTATAATTTCATATGTATCAAATAAAAAGCGTTAAGGATTAACAAATGAAAAAGTAAGGTTGCTTTAATTACTAGAATACATCAATATTAGCATGGTCTTGTCAAATCAACATTACATTTTGTCTTTATAAATTGGGCCTAATTTTTAAAGGAGGCTATTATTTAAAATTAGTTATAAGAGCATACGGTTTGGCTAATTTAAACAGGAGCATAACTGTAAAATGAAATCACGGTTTTGAGTGAAACCATAGAAAATTTTTACGGTTTATAGAAACAAGAAAAATATATTCTGATTTCTTTAGAAACTGGAAATCGAATTTATGATTTCTAAAGAGACCGTAATTCATTTTCTCTGTTTCGTAGAAACTAGAAACACGTCTCCCGGTTTGTTTATAAACGATTAACTCCCTTTCCAACACACTTATAAACCATTATTTTCATCTTAATCCTTACCAAATTCTGTGCATAATATATATTATTTTAAATAATTTATATGTATTGGTGTTATTGTTAATTTATATAATTATATAATAATATATATTTAGTCTATGTTTGAAGTAATTTAATGCTTATATTCAAGTCATTAGGGATATGTATGAAGGAGTTGTTACTTGTGTTCAAACACAAGATGGCTTGACCAAGTATTTTTGTATTTCACTTGGATTACATCAAGGATCAGCCTTAAGCCTTTATCTTTTTGCATTAGTCATGGATGTTCTTACTAGACATTTGCAAAAGAATGTATCCTGGTGTCTATTTTTTGCCGATGATATTCTTCTTGTTGATAAGACTAGAGAGGGAGTTGAAGGTAAACTCGAATTATGGAGGTCAACCTTAGAGTATAAAGATTTTCATTTGAGTAGATCTAAAATCGAATACATAGAGTATAATTTTAGTAGTGAACTAGTAATATATCTAATAGGGGGTTTGCGACTTTGATGGATCAATTCATTAATAAGTGTATTCGTTTTTGATATCTTGGGTCTATTGTGCAGAGTGATGGTGAAATAGATGGGGATATTATTAGTAGAATTCATATTGGATGGTTGAAGTGGAGGAATGCTTCAGGTTTGTTATGTGATAGAAAAGTACCACCCAAATTTATGGGAAAATTTTATAAGATGGTGGTGAGACTTGCAATGCTTTATGGCACAGAATGTTGGTCATTAAAAGAGAAGCATAATATTAAGTTAAGTGTTGCAGAGATGAGGATGTGATGGGGACATCAGATCATCATGGAGAGTTTATCAGAGACGCGGCCGCCGATCTACGGCCACGATCCAGCCTTTATATTTTTGAGTCGTTGATGTATTTTTATTTTCATGTAGCTTGTTATTTGCTTATGTGGCATTGTGAACCGTTGTATTTTTTATTTTATTTTATTTTATTTAGTTGCTTATGTGTTTTCTTTCCCATGGTACCCCTCTTATGGGAGTTGTCGTATGTAAGCCCAAAGGGCGTTTGTGTCTTTTATTTCGAGTCATGTTGTAGGAGGCTATTTAAAGCCCCACTTTATTCTATTATGGTTAATGAATGAATATTATAACAAATTTCTTGCACTTGTGTGTTTTGAGAGAGTTTGAGAGTTCTTGGAGAGAACTTTGGAGAAATCCCTTGGAGAGGGAGATCGGATCACCCACCAACCTTGGAGACGGCCGGGTTCGTGGTCTTTCTTTATCTTTTGTCTTTCTTCTTTCCACCACCACCACCGGACATCATTACACCCAAACCCTTCTTCATCTCCAAACCATCGTCTCCTCCCAATCGAACTTTCCCCCCTTCCACCCACCTCCTCCACCACATACCGCCGTCCAATCCTCGTCCCAAAGCCCCCACCTGAGCCCTTATTCCCCTTCCAAATTCCACGGTCAAGCCCCCACCCAAGACCACCCACCGCCGGCCCTAGCTCCCCTTCTTCATTGTTTTCCATACCTAATTTGGATTGGCATCAGTTTGGACAGATTTTGAAATTCAAATTCAAAACAATTTAATTTTAAAACTTTCCTAAATTACCAATTCTATTTTAGGAAAGTTCTTAAATTAAAACTCTTTGAAATTCAAATTCAAATTGGATTTAATACCATGCTTTCCTAATTCCAATTTCCAAATCCAATTTCCTTAATTCATCACGTAACTGCTCTTTGGCCTTAATAGCCGCTGGCCTCCCAGTAGACAATTCCAGGGAAATTATTTCCCAAACCATCTTTCTCTTTGATTGTTTTCACAAGTGTTCCATCAAGTGTGAAGAATTGATCATCAAGTACTCATGAGTGTCGAATCCGGAAACTAAATAAGGCATCACTTGGGACGAAGATGATTTCACCGACATTCCCCACGTCTCCTTAGCAAAGGTTTCTTTTTGTCACTTGCATCTTATTTCATTTAAATCTAAATTCTAAGTGGTTTGATTGTAATTGCGAAAGTCTCCTCCAAGTGCTCTTGCTAAGCTTAGTAAATTATAGGAATTGAGCGTACTTTATTTGCATCCTAAATCTCGTTGTTAGATTAGGGATTAAATTGAAGACTACTATTTTGCATTGTTTCTGTTTTCTTAGTTATCTTGAAATTTCAAAACTTGGAGCATGTGATTTAGCCTACGCAAAGTATCTCCTTATTTGTTTTATTCTTCGTTGAGAATTGCTAGTAATTTTAAGCCAAAATTATTCTAATCTAAGAGTTGTGCAATGCCTAAATGAATCCATAAGCATCTCATCTAAGTAGTCCTGCATCAGGATGTTCAGGTGGATGAGTGGATTTACTCTTAGATACATGATACAAAATGAGCATATCCATGAAAAGGTTGGAGTAGCTCCAGTGACAGATAAGATTAGAGAGAGTTGACTTAGATGGTTTGGTCATGTAAAACATAATCATATAGCTGACCCCACGTAGTGGGATAAAGGCTTGATATTTTTGTTGTAGTTGTTGAAATTTTTATATTATTTATAAATTTTGAGAGATATTTACATTTATAATGTTTAAATTATACATTTTATTATTTTAATTATATAGTTTATTATTAAGGATCTACATATTATGATATAAATTTAAATAATTATTAAATTATGATAAAAATAATTTATTATTTAATTTATATTGTATTACCAAAAATATTGTAGATTATGTTGTATAGTATATTAACATTTATATATATATATATATATATATTAACCAAGTAAATTTTAAAGCAAGTATTTATTAATGTGGTAATGACTAATCAAATAATTTTAAAATATTATTATATTATATAGTATTAGTTAGGTTATTTTATCCGCACCTAAAATTAATTTTATTAATATAATTTTAATTAACTTCAGTCGCATTGGCAACTTTGATTAGTCAAATTAAGATGAATCATTTCTTTAGAAATAAGTTATAATACAATAATAATTTAAATAATTAAATTTGAATAATTAGTTAAATATGAGTTTATTACTAAAGTCATATCAATATTAATGTCATCAGATTCATGACCTAATAATTATTCATGCTTAATATCATGTACTTTTTTAATGTTATTGGTATTGTTGCCACAACTAGTCACATGTGTTTTGAAATAGTAATATCTTCTTAACAATTTATATGATAACATAGCATCTTATATTTATTGTTTTGTTGTTCTTTAATGTCCTATTTTTTATATTATTTATGACAATAACCTATCACAAGAGGTGAGCTGTATAGCAGTAATGTGTATTATAATATTCTATTAGTAACATAAGATTATTTGTTTATCGTTTGATTATTGATTGAAGTTATTTATTTGATACTATTACTGATGGCATCTTATCATAATAGGTGGGTTGTAAAGTAGTATTATTGAATTTTGCTATATAAGGGGTGTATGTATATGTGAAGCAAAACATTAACAGAAAATGTTTGTAGTAGATTTCTAGAAACTGATGAATCGGCTGATTTGATTGTGAGGGAATTAAGAAGTTTCCTAATTAAGAAAGAGTTGTTTAGGAAGGTTCTTAATCAAAGGGAATTAATTATGAGATGTTTCATAATTGAAGAGAGCATATTTGGGGGCTGATTTAGAGATGATTAATTAGGAAATATTTTCTAATTGAAGATGACTAATTTGGGGCTGATTTGGGGGGATTAATTACGAAATATTTCATAATTGAAGAGGGTGGATTTGGGGGCTGATTTGGAGAGGATTAATTAGGAAATATTTTCTAATTGAAGAGAAGATTTGGGGGTTGATTTGAGGGCAATTTGGGAGGGAAATAATTAAGGAATTATGGGAGAATTAGGGGAGGGATGTTTGGGTATTGAGTGTTTATTCTCCAATTGAAGATCTACTATATCTTGTCTTTTCTTTTATAAAAATTTCAATAAAAAGTGTTTTTGTGTGTTTTATTCCTGATGTTCTTGATATTGTTTTTCTAACATTGTTGGAATCAGATTTTAGCCAAGACTTTTCATAAATTTATGCAAGCCCCTTGTTTATCAAAAACCTAGTACAAGCAACTTCTGTTAATGCTATGCTTCACTTATATATACACCTCTTATATAATAAAATTCAATTTTGACAAAATATTAAAGATAAATTAAAGAAAAGTAGAATAGATAACACAACTTTACAACTCACCTATTGTGATAGGATCCTGTCAAGAATAGTATCAAATAAATAATTTCAATCAATAATTAGACAAAAAATAGAAGATCTTATATT